CTGCTGCGCCATGCAACACTTGGGGAGCTCGCCCTCGCCGCCGACGGCCGCCTCGTGTCCCCGCGCACCGGCGCCGTGCTGCAGGACCCGTCCGGCCGCGCGGCGCTGCGGTTGCGGCTGGGGGGTGAGGGCGGGCAGCAGCTGCTGGATTGTAAGGGGCGCCCCACCCAGGGGCAGGATGGGCTACCGCTAGAGGTGGGCGCGGCACCTGTACAGGGGGACCACGCCAAGCAGCATTCGTGGGCAGTAGAGGATGGGCAAGAGTATGAGCCCATCTCCCCGCTAGTCGAGACTGTACCCTGCCAGCTGCCGCGCCCCGCAGAGGGGTTGCAGCTGCACCACGAAAGTTGGTACGCCAATCACCCTCATCAGACATTACCAAATCTTGGTGATATCTGCCTCAGACTTCGCACCATGATAGCAACCACCCCTGACACCACTAAACCCTGTTTGTCCAAAACCCAGGTCATGATGGACCCACGGTCAGGTCTGCCTGTCACCAGCCCCCTCGCGCTCCCCCTCGCGCCCGGCCCGCGCGGCGGCCCGCTCCGCGGCCCCGGCGGCGCCCCCCTTGCCCTCGGCCCCGACGGCGCCACGCTGCTGGCGGCCGCGTCCGGCCTGCCGCTGCTCTGCGCGGCGGGGCGGCCGCTGGCCGTGGGGGAGGGGGGCGCGCTGCTGGCGGCGGGGGGCGCGTGGCCGCTGGCTGGAGAGGCGGCGTTTGTGTCGGGAGACGGAGCGGCCCTAGTGGATGCAGGTGGGTGGGCTGCGCTGCGCCGCGCATGGACCCTCTGGGCGGGGGCGGCGAGGTATACCATTCTGCACCGCTTTCGTCCCTGAGGAGTTCCCTGCTCGCAGCGCGTTGGTGCTGCCGCAAGCCTGCGCCCGCCGCCGCCGCCTTGGAAGTGCTCTCGCAATTGCGCAGACCAGCTGCTTCCCGGCTGCATACACCCTCCTCTTGACATCCCCCCCGCCCCGCTGGGTTGTCACTGTGCTGTGTGTTGCAGGCGGCCGGCTGCTGCGGGGGCCGGACGGGGAGGTGATGAGGCTGACACTTGGAAACCAGCTCCTGCTCTGGCGCCACGGTGAGGCGAGGCTGCCCAGTGCGCAACCTCCTCCTGCTGCTGCTGCTGCTGCTGCTGCTGCTGCTGCTGCTGGCTCCTTGGACTTCTTTCATGTCAGCGGATTGCTGCGGCTGCGGCTTTGTTCAGACTGCAGGCTGCGGCCTTCCGCATCCCCACAGCCCGCCTCACCTAACCGCTTCCCACCCCCCACTCTACCGCCGCGTGCCACGCAGATGGTCAGCCCCTGCTCGGCCCCGATGGCCGCCAGGTGGCGGCCTCGCCCTTCGGCTACCTGTACTGCCCCTCCGCGGGCGGCCAGCCGCTGCGCGGGCCCGACGGCCAGGCGCTGCAGCTGTCGGCGCTCGGGGAGCTCCTCACGTGGCCGCGCGGCCGCGTTGCGCGGTCTCCCTGCGGGCAGCGGCTGACGGTGTCGCCGGACGGGCGCTCCTTCCTGCTGCCGTCGGGGGCGCAGGCGCTCGGCCTGGCTGGGGAGATCCTCAGGTGGGGGCCGGCGCTCATCGGCTTGCGCGGAATCATGCAACACGCCGCTGCGTCGACACACTCGACCGCTGCAGGGGCCGGCGCCCAAGGTGGCGTCGGTGCTGCAACGGCCCTGGCCCAGCCACCTTGCCTCCCTGGACCGCTGCACCGCTGTACCGCTGTACCCGTGTACCGCTGTATCGCTCTTCTGTTACACCGCCGTACCGCCTCCAACCCACGCCCTCGCCGCGCGTCTTCGACACTCTCAGACCCTCAACAACGGGCGCGTCGCGCCCTGCGCTCGGCGCCGGCGGCGTGCAGATGCTGGGGCCGGAGGGCGAGCCCCTGGCGCTTACTCATGACGGCTGCATCACCGACATGACGGGCCGCGCCCTTGTCAGGTGAGCCGCCTGGAACCGACGCCGGCGCCACGCGCGAGCGCCGAGGGCAGGGGCTCCCGCTTCAGGGGGGGATACACTAGATACACCGGGCTCCTGGCGATGCGCATCGCATGTGGGACCGTTTGTGTTGTGTGGGACATCGCTGGACAGGGCTGGCTTTCACAAGCGGCTTGCTTGCAGCAGCGCCTCCGGAACTCTTTCTGGCACACAATTCTCCCAAGGCCTGATGAGATCCTCGCTCCATTCCCGCCCTAGTTCCTGCGGCGTACCACTGGGCCTGTATCCCAATGGCAGCCTCCAAAACGCCACCACCAAGATGCCGTTTGCGGGCCCCTCGCTCGCGCGCGCCGGGCGGGTCACGCTCGCGCCGGACGGCCGCACGCTGCTGCGCGGCGGCGCCCCGCTGCTCTCGGCGGGCGGCGCGCCGGTCACTGCGTCCCTCCAAGCGCAGCCGCCGGCGGGCGCGGCGGCGGCGCTGTTGGCCACCCTGGGGCTCGTGTAGCTTGAGCGTCACCCCTGTCTGCTGAAGCAGGACTATCACAGTTGACTGTGTTCCCGGCCAACACGCCGGGAGGATTCCCTTGGCGGAGGCTGGTGGGTCAGTTGGCGGGTTGACCACTGCAGGTTGGGTTTGGCACTTGACACTAATAATCAAAAGGACGATGCAAGGCCAGCAGAGAATGTTGGCTGCGCCGCCGACAACGCGTTGCATGCTACATGCACGTTAAACGCCTGCCAGCGACGATGCGCGTCGCCTGCAAACAACAAGCAACGTACGTGTGGCTGCATGCGCCGTGATATTGACAACAAGCACTGTGGCGTTCGCCGCCCCAGCACACTTGTGAGACGGGGAGGTTTTGTGGCTGTTTGCCATCTCCTCACAAGGCGCCGCACAATTGGGAATGCTCCCTGCATTCCAGAGCTGCCTCTCAGCCAAGAGCCCAGAGTACCTGCTTTGCTGCCGTTGACCCTGACCCTGAGGTTCAGAAATTGCCTTCTCATGCGGTTGGCCGTGCATTCTTGCAGCGCCCCAAACGTGCCGCGCCTGGTGAATAAGAGCGCTCAAGGCCCTCCGCATGATTTCTGTGGCCACGTCGCCCTGCATGCCGGCGCTGCTCCTGCTCCCCCGCGCATTGCGCGTCTGGGCATTTGATGCTGCTTGACCAACGCTGCTTTCTCCTTGACATCGGCTCTTGGTACCATCTCAAGCACTTGCACCACGTCCCCGCTTGCGTGCAAGTGCGAGCCCTGTACTCTGTTGTTGGGGATGACCTGCCGGGTCATGCTTGTTGCAGTGTTCCTTGGTGGTGTTTGATTGCGAAGCATTCGGCGTGATCGTGGTTCCCATGCCCAAGCTGCTGACTTTTCCAGGGTAGTTGGGCCAATCGCTGCTGCTCTTACCCTGATGCGCCGCGCCGCGTTGGGTTGCGGTGCGGTGCACTGGATTGTGCTGCACTGGGTTGCGCTGCGCCGCGCTGTGATGCGATGTAATGTGCATGCAAGGGCCAAGGCTGCCGAGGCTTGTCCGGGGGACACAATATGTTGATCAGCTGAAGGGACACATGATGGCGGGAGCAGCTCGATTGACCACGAATTTTACAGGGCTGGATGCCCATCGTAGCCGCGCATGCGCTGCCGACACACCTGTTAACCCGACACAGCACCTGCATCGCCAAAAGGGACAGCTCTGAGAGCCAGCTGCACATGCCCTGCATCCCTCAAGGAGGTCAACAGCAGCTCGAGGGCCCGCACAGTCGTAGATTTGCAAAATCACGCGGCTGCCGGCAGGTTATGAGAGTCTTGATACGACCTGCTGCGTCATTCTAGCTCAGCATACGGGGTCAGCCACTGGTGTTGTCGATTCAGTGAGTCAAGCGAGAGTCGAGCTTGAGTTGACCGCTGCCTGCAAGGCTTTGCAGGCAGCGGCTGGCGCTTCAAACTGTATGTAAATGCTTTCTTTTCAAATATTCTCACGATCTGCTGCTGCTGCAGAATGCTTGGGAGATCTGAGACGGAGTTACCCACGCTGGTTACTCTTGCGAGAGGGGGTCGAAGCGCGTAAAACACACCCAAGTTGCTGGTGTCGCTCAAATCAAGGACACACAGAAGATTCTACCGATTGCCATTCGGTGTTCGCAACTCCGTGATCAGGCAAAATCACACACAACGCAGCATGCACAGCTTTTGCCAAGGGCGCGTTCGGTGTGTGTCTGGATCAGCAGTGTCTTCCCGTGCACACACCGGTGCAGCCCGCTGTGTGTTTGCCGCCACGCAACCGCGGAGCGCTCGTGCTGTGGTCGCCAGGGCCGCCCCGCTCACAGCAGACACACCGCACATCCAGCTAGCTACGGCCAAGCTGCCAAGGTGACTGTTGCAACAGCTGCGCAAGAAAGCAAGCGGCTCCTCACGAACTTACACATCTTGGCCCTGAAACTGGCATTGTTGGCAGTGGTCGGCACCCGCTCCCACCTCCCTGGGTTGCTGCGTACCGTCTGCCTCCACCAAGCCCCTCCATCGACCCCATCCCCACGCGCCCGCCCTCCGCACGTGTCGCCCGCCGCGCGCAGCTCTGCAAATGAGGAGGTCTTCACGTCCGCGCTGTACCAGCATGTCGCCACTTTGACGCAAAACGGCGTCAACCTGCCTTTTGTGCTGCCGCTCAAGGTGGGCTGGGCAGCGGGGGCCGGGACGACTGGAGGGGCGAGATCCTGGAGGCCAACCCTCCATCGACCGTGAATTCGACCGTGAATGCAGTGCAGCATGGCTGTCCGCCCCTCACGCCGCAGCGGCTGCGCGGTGCTTACTCTGCGCTTCGCAGGCGGCAAACTGACTCGCCCCCGCCCCCCAAAACCGCAGGTCGACCGCCTGGCTGACGGCGGCTTCCAGATCGGGCTGCTGCGGCGCGGGGACAGCGGCACGTTCGGGTCTGCGGTCGACATTGTCGGCGTTGTTGAGAGCGTCGAGGACGTGAGTCACGCACACTCCCCCCCTCCGCACCCGCCCCCTCGCGCGCTCGAGCGCGCGCTTGCCTGGCAATGCAGTAGTCGCGTGAGGGCGGGCCATGCACATCGCGCCGCCGCCTGGGGGTTGCTACCACAGACGCAAGGCGCCGCCCAGAGCCCGGGATGGGGCCCTTGGCGGGCGTGTCGTTCCGTAATCGACGCTTGCAGGGTGGGGACCTGCATGCGCTGTGCCTCGACGGGCCCCCTTGCTTCAGCCGGCCGCCCCGCCGCCGCCAGCTGCCCTGACTGTGCCGACGGGCGCGAGACAGCTCCCTCCCCCCCTGCGTGCGCCTCGCGCGCAGGTGGGCCGCGTGCTGTTCTTGCGTATGTACGAGGGCCCCTTTGCGTTCTCTGGACGTCAGTTTATTGGCAGCAGCGACGACCGGCTGGAGGCTGTCTTCCAGGTGGGGTGGGCACGAGGCGCGCCGGCGCGATTGCATGCGTGCCACCAAGCTGTCCAGCCTGTGTGCGTGCAAGTGCGTGTGCGCGTGCGTGTGTGTGTGTGTGTGTGTGTGTGTGTGTGTGTGTGCGCGCGCATGCGCACGTGCATGCATGCGTGTGTGTGTGTGTGTGTGTGTGTGTGTGTGTGTGATGTGTGTGCACGCGCGCGCGCCCGCGTGCATGTGCGTGTGCGTGTGTGTGCGCGCCCTCTCCCGTGTGCTTGCTTGCACGTGCAAGGGTGTGGGTGCCGACTCAGCAACAGGCTCGCATGTGGCAG